AGTGGATAGAGAGTTGGTCTGCGGACTGAAAGGTCCCAGGTTCGATTCCGGTCAAGGACATGTTGATTGCGGGCACATCCCCAGTAGGGGGTGTGCAAGAGGCAGCCGGTCATTGTTTCTCTCTCATCGATGTTTCTAGCTCTCTATCCCTCTCCCTTCCTCTGTAAAAAATCAATAAAATATACTTTAAAAAAATAATAGGCATAGTTTATTATGATCCATTTTTATTGAAAATAAGTTTAGAGGTAAATAATGTGCATTTGCCGGATTCTGGACATAATTATAAAATATCGGAGCTAGCAGGAGCCTCAGCTAGCACACGGGCTCCTTCATTTTCTGTGGATCAAGGCTCTGGAAATGGAACCCGGGTCCTTGGTCCTCGGTAAACACTGATACTGAGACCAGGGTGTGACTCCCAGGCCAGTGAGCGTTCTCTATTATAATTTGAATGACACGGTGTCCTCCATAGTTTGGGCTAACTAGGGGTGTCAAACTCAATCAGAGAAGGGGCCAAAATCTAAAATCCAGCCTAAATCGCGGGCCGAATGGTTTACTGAACAGTCATAAACTGTCATTGTGATGGAAACGCAGCGGAGTGCAGTGATGACAGCGCGGTGCGGGCCACATTGCAAGGCCTGGTGGGACGGATTTGGCCCGCGGGCCTTGTGTTTGACACATGTGGAAAATGAGTCCATTCACATGCTTTCCCCACAAAACAGGGTAGTGAATATACTGTCCAACTGGGTTTGCCGAGTTCTCGGCCCACCTGCTGATGTAGACTTAGAAGGGCACCTCATCGGCGGGAACAGTGGCTGAGGACTTCTTGGTGAAGATGGCAGACCGAGCCAAGAGAATTACTTGTGTTCCCTCCTTGCATTAGTTTCTTGTTGTCATAGCAACAAACCCACAAGTCTAGTTGCTTACCACAGCAGAACAGTCCTGGTGTTGCAGGGCTTTGTGCTTATTGAAGGCTCCCACGTCCTTGCCTTGAAAACTGAAAAGCTTACAGGAGCCGCCTGCCCTCTTTGGGCTGGGGCTCCTTCCTTTTGTCGTTACAGCCTCTTGCTTTCGCCGTCTCCTGCTACTCGGATCCCCTGCCTCCCTCTTACAAGACGCTTGTGATCACATTTTGCCCTCTTGGGTAATCTCCCGTCTCCAGGCCCTCAGTCACATTTGCGAAGTCCCTTGTGCCATGTAGGGTACTATTCACAGTTTCCAGGGGTTTAGAATGTGGACCTCTTTGAGGAAGGAGCATTATTCATTCTACCACATTCCCCAAAGGCGTGCAAATGAGAGTCTTTTATTTATTTTTATTTTTAAGTATATTTTTATTGATTTCAGAGAGAAAGGGAGAGGGAGAGAGAGAGAGAAACATCAATGATGAGAGTCATTGATTGGCTGCCTTCTGCATGCCCCCTACTGGGGACCAGGCCTACAAGCTGGGCATGTGCCCTTGACTGGAATCAAACCCGGTACCCCTAAGTCCACAGGGCAACCCTCTATCCACTGAGCCAAACCAGCTGGCGTGAGAGTCAAGTCTTTTAAATAAATCGTATGCTTGGAATATTTTAATACAGTGGTCTCCTCTCTCTGTGGATCTAAGTGCTAAACATAGGATCCAGGGACCAGTGGGGGCCCAAGGGGGCTGGGATAAGTTTGTTTTTAAGATACTCCCAGCCGAAACCGGTTTGGCTCAGTTGTAGAGCGTCGTCTTCGGACTGAAAGGTCCCAGGTTCGATGCCGGTCAAGGGCATGTATGTTGGTTGCGGGCACATCCCCGGTGGGGGGTGTGCAGGAGGCGTCTGGTCAATGTTTCTCTCTCATCGACGTTTCTGGCTCTTGTTTTTGCCGTCTCCTACTACTTGGATCCCCTGCCTCTCTCCCTTCCTCTCTGTACAAAATCAATAAAATATATTTTTTTAAAAAAAAGAAAAGAAAAAAGATACTCCCATATCCATCATTTTCTTAGGAATGTAATTCAAAACGAGTGCTCTGAATACTGAGTCCCTTCCCGCTTTTTTAAGGAAAAATTTAATTAAAACATTCGCCTCTGTCATATTTGTGAAGTCCCCGGCCTGCATTTCATCCGGGCACAGAACTGAGTTGCCTCGTCATGCTCATCAGCGAAACCTGTGCAGCGTCGCTCTCCCTGTGGGCACAGCCGAGCAGAAGGGGCTCTCGGTCTTGGGGCCCCGTGTGAGGGGAGGCTTAGGTGAAGAGCGGAAGCCAGAGCTCCCAGGCAGAGGGAGTGCAGACGTGGCAGTGCCAGTGCCAGTGCGGGGGGGGGGGGGGGGGGTGGGGGGGTGCGGCCAGGGAAAGGCGCTGGTCCGGTATCAGGCACCGGGCAGACTTCCAGGGCTCTTCTGGGGGAGCTGGACTAACACCTGCCCTGAAATGGTTCATCGCCTTGGAGCCCGAGAGATGTCTGGACATGTTGTTGAGGGGCCGGTTCTGTGCGGGTGGCCGCTCATTACCCGAGCTTGGCAGCTGTGGCCCAGGACCCGCAGTTCACAGACGCCTCCACGTACCCTGTCGGTGTGTCCCAGACCAGCACTGCCTCTGGCACCGTCCATGAATTTCTATTTAAAAAGCAGGCCTTTGACTCAGCTGCTGTGGTTGGTGCTGGTTTTGCTGGCTAAGTGCTGATAACGTGGGAAAGAACCGTTTCTCACACCAGATTCTGCAGGTGCTTCTCTTCCGCGCTGTCTGTTGAGTTGACGGGAATGAATCCGAGTGGACACGGCCACGTGTTTGTGGGATGTCCATGTCCGATTACCTGGAAGGAAGCCTCTGTTTGGGGAGGTGACATTGGGATTTAGAGTGTTCAGATCATTAGTGATAGAACTAGGAAGTATTTTCAAAAGCTTGGCATTTCAAAATGTACTCTCATATCATTTCGCTATTCCCAACAGATTTTGAAAAAGTAATAATATAATAAGGACACAGTGACCGGAGCTAGGAATAGCTCATGCACATTAATATCCCCAGAACATTAAACACTTGAAAATAACTTTGGGGGGGAGGGTTGACTCCTTTGGAGATTTGCTTATAATTAATACAAAGTAATTCTTGGATTTATTTTGGGGAGTTGGTTATAATTAATGCAAATAGTTGCTGGATTGTTTGGCTTAATGAATGCTGGTTTCTCTTAGAGATGTTAGGATGGAGTACTAAGAAGTTGTTTTGATGGCATTTGAGCAGGGAAATATAATACTACTGGACTCTCCCAGATGCCTCTGCTGCCTTTGCTGGCATTGCCACTGTTGGGAAGAAATAGTTTACATCTTATTTCATTTCTAATCTCACGAGCACCTTCCCTGACAGCCGGTGACGTCAGGGTGCCCAGCCAGGGCGTGGCGTTGGGTGCCCGTCTTTTCCCGTAGCCGGTGGGAGAGAATGCCATCCCAGCCTTGCACTCCTTCCTTGAAGACAGAATGAAGGTCAGGTTCACAGTTGCTCTTCAGCTGTTGAGTCTGAGTGAAGCAGCAGGGACATGGGGACCTAGGGATCTGCCTCCACCTTCTGAAGAGCCACTGACCCCATAGGAAGACTCACCAACACTCGCCCCCTGGCACTGTATCTTGGACTCTTGTCTACAACATGGCACTGAGTAATCGCGGGTCCCCCAAAGGAAGGCATCTCTCCCCGCAATACAACGCCGTACAGTCCTTCTTCCCCGCCCGCAGCTCACGAAAGCCAGGGGCCGATTCCTGGCCCGTGAGTGATGCGGTCTCCCTCGGAGGGGAAGGCCCGTGGCCATAACGCCCGTGTCGCAATAATTGCTTTTCTGTACCGCGTGCCGTTGATAGTATGAGCTGTCAGACCTTGCCGCCTGATAAAGAAACTGGGCAGTGATAATTCATTCTGCTTTTCCGTCAACCGTACTTATCTTCAGCCTTGTGACTTGCACCAGTTTTTGCCGCGAGGAGTGGACTGTGTAGTTTGGTTTTTCTCTGCCTTTAGTGACAACCTCAGTTGCGTTTGCAGTCTAAGAACTGCTTTGCACTCATGCGGGGAAACCAGATTGGTTTCCTGGAAACAACAGGACACGTTGTTTGGAAGAGATTCCGGGGTTTGAATGGCTCTGCTTGGCAGAGTTTGCATCTAATCGATCTTCATGAGAACTGGATGCAGCAGCATCCAGTGTATAGCACATGCCTGACTTCCTGACCATGCTCCCCCATCTGCTTGTGTAAAAGTGTTTCTATTTGAAGATCACTTTTTCTAGAACATTCAGACAATCTGTCTGTGCCTAAAGTCCTATTCACATTTAGGCTTATAACATTGTTCATGTTGTATTTTCGCCACATTTACACCTGAATCAGTTTTGGGAGTTCCAAGTTTAATTCTACGTAACAGTAACAATAGAAACGTCTGAGTTAAATATAAGCAATAACACGCCCCAAGATGCGAAAATGAATTTGTGACAGATGACGTCAAACTATCAATAAAAGTTGAAGAAGACCAACCCTTCATGTGAAGTTTGCAGGGACAAAACGATAGAAGCTGGCAAGCTGGCCATTTCTCAATTTCCAATTCTTGAAATCACAGTGAATCTCACATTTTAAATTTTTTTGGAATGCAGCAGGAAAAAACCATGCTTTATCCTCTGGAAAGGACCCACTTATTGTAGCGCCCTGGGTGGTTCCTGGTCCTTAGCGTGAAGAGCTGGCGCTTCGAGCAGATCCGGGGACAGTTTGTTCACACACAGCACGCTTCCCTCCGGCCCAGGGAAGCCTGACCGTGGAGGATGTGTTTTCCAAAGGGCAGTTTTGTTAACACGCATTCCTAGTCCCCGTCCCGGGCCCCTGAGCAGTCTCCCCGGGGGTGAGCCCTGGAAACTGCATTTTGCAAAGCTTTTCCCCCGTGTGCCTGGTACACAGCGGAGTTGAAGGACTGCTTAGCATTGATGCATCGTGGAGACCTGCTCTGTCGGGTTTCTGGGACACACTGTCTTTATATGATGATGACTATTTTGCCCTTTTCCTTTTTACCCTCAGGACTGGTGCATCATGTCTGTAACCTGTTCACGGAAACGGCCACACTGTGCTTGGACCTGGAAAATAAAAATGACGACGAGACGGCGACCGCGCTGCTCTGCTCCCTGCTGGACGTGCTGCACGGCATGCTGACCCACACGTCCGGCGTCGTGCGGCTGGCCCTGCAGGTACGGCCTCAGCCTCGGTCTGGCACCGCCCTGCACTGCACCACACCCCTGTCATCTCTTCTGGCTAATCCGCCTCTAAAGTGTCTTTACGTTTTACAATAGAAAGAACTTACGTCCTGTAGAGAGAGACTATCAATAAGCCATCTTTGGTGGCCAATGCCAAGAACGGATCATGTGGTTACAAAATCGGAAAGGAAAGCAGGAGGGGCCTCAGCAGAGACTTGGCGAGCTCTAATCGGGGAACGTTCCCGGCAGAGACCGTCAGCCCCCTGGGCACCCGGGGCTGGCCAAGCCGTGTGCAGCCTTTCCTGCCCCCGGAAGGGGCCCTAGCCACCCCATTGGGAAAGGTCAGCTTGCCAGGAGCACTTGGTCGAGATTTTAGGCCCATGCATCCATTCACACACACATATACTTATATACACACATGTATACACATGTATACATTTACATGTTGCATTACATTCATAATGCAACATGTAAACAAGCACTCGCTTTCCCTTGTGACCAGTAACATGGAAATACAGATGGATTTGAGACTTAGAAGTGTATGCAGTCAGTGTGCCCCAAACTGGACTGTGCTCTACGAAGGAAGGGGACGTGGGTCTGTTAAGTACTTCCCGTGTTAGGTGCCTCCACATGCCTATTTCATTTACTGCTCTCTCTCTGAGTCAGCTGATACTCCAGTCACATGAAAGCACACGGCTGACATGAATTCACTGTCACGTTTCGAATCCTGGTACAATTGCAAGAGGCTTATGTCGAGCGATAGCCTGTTGGCTTGAGTAGATGCAGAAGCTAACGGGGAGACCAAACTGTGTTGGTACCTCGCCAGGAGCCAGCGTGGCAGAGCCAGGAATGAATTCGCGAGCCTGGTTTAGCCTCTGTTACTCATCATTGTGATAAATGGTAACTTTTACCTACAGCGAAGCTGCTCCAGTGTTTAGCTTAGCTAGCGTGGTGGGTAAGTAATTCTAAGATCTCCTCAGCAAACATGGTCGCTAGTGTTTAGCGCACACTTGTAAAGCCAGTAGCTGAGAATGGCCTTGGAACTATTTATTATAGTTGTTTTTCTTTGCTCGTCTGTAATCATTCTGGGTGAACAGGAGAGCATTGTTAAGTACCTATGGAGTCCCAAATTAAGGTTTCTCTTAGCTTTTCCTCTCGTGTCTCTTCAGAGAATAGCTGTTCTTATTTCAGTGTCTGAAGGAGTTTTATGTAAATCTTCAGGATGTAGTTGCTAGTTACGTTCATAGATACATTGATGATATCAATCTGTGAAAAAGAAATGTTTTGTAGGTGGTAAATATAAAAGGGATCAGGCTAAGCCAGTGTGGCTCAGTGGTTGAGCATCAACTCATAAACCAGGAGGTAGTTGAATTCCCGGTCAGGGCTCGATCCCTAGGTAGGAGAGCATGCAGGAGGCAGCCAGTCAATGGTTCTCCCTCATCATTGATGTTTCTCTCTCTCCTTCTCCTTTCCTCTCTCTAAAATCAATAAAAACATAATTAAATTTTTTTTTGTAAGGAATCAGAAGTTCAAAAATTCTAGAGCACCAGAAATCTCTTATTAGATAAGTGATTATTAGGTAGGTAGTCAAGGTTGTTTAAAAGAAAACTCCTTAATAGAAATACTTTCTATCTTTCTTTTTTTGCTAGTGTACCAGTAGATCACTGTTTTTCATTTTTTTCATTTTCTTCAACACCACTGCATACCTCACTGTTGTGGTCTTTCTGAATCCTCCACTATATCAGCTGCCATGGATTGCTTTTGGCTTCACTCCCCGCTTTGATCTGCAGGGCACCTGGCGTTAGTCTGAGAGAGGCGGAGTCCTTGAGACTGAGTGAGGGGAAAGGGTTGGGAAGAGTGTGCACCAAAGACACTGTCTCCTGAAACACTGAGCTGACCGTGCTCTCCGAGCCACCAGCCGCCTCTCCCGCTCATAAGCATGCTCCACACCGGCGACTCTCCCGCATTCCTAAATGTCTAACGGGGACGTCCATAAAGTGAAGGATTCGGGGGATTGAGGACTGCCAGTGTGTGAAATGATAGTAGCGCTTCGGTTTATGAAGCACTTTTCTTTCTCAGGGAGGAGAGGGACATGGTGCAGGAATGTGTCCCAGGAAAGTAGGGAGTGGAGGGAGGCATGTGTCAGAGTCTCCCTTGGGAGCTCAGCCCTGACCCCTGCCTGCCTTGTGATGCAGAATTGGTCCTGCCTTACTTACGTGAACCTCCTGCCAGCAAGTACCGCCACCCTCGTCCTGCTGTGCCAGCCGCAGACCTGGGCGTCATCCTTCACATGCTCTCCTTTTTCCTGTTCCACATCTGACCTGTCACCAAATTATGGAGACTTTTACCTTAAACACCTAACCAATCCAACCACATCTTCCAAACCCGGCCAGCTACCACCCAGCTCAGTGTCCCGTCCTCTCTTGCTGAGAGTGTAACCACCGGGAGGGTCTGCCCTGGGCTGGTTAAGGGGCAGAGGCCGATGCTCTCTCTGCAATGGTGTTTCAGAGGCGGAACTCAGAGCTGCGATAGGAGAGGCGCAGACCTCCGGGGCAGTGCGGCCCGTTGTTCTCTGGAACGGAACTCTACCCTTGTTTCCCCTCCCGGTGCAAGTGGCTAAAAGGCAGGCGTTTGATTTTACAATTCTTCTGAACCAAAGAAAGCAGGCAACTCACCTTCTGCCCCATCAGCCTGAGGAGCGGAGGGAAACCTGGTATTTGTGAGAAGGGCCCTGGAGTCCAGGCTCCCGCCCTCGGGAGGGGCAGCCTGTAGCCTGGTCTGCCAAAGGTCATCACCCAAAAAGCAGTTCTGTTCCTTCCAAGTGAAAGTAAAAACCCAGAGGAAGCATTGAATGAAACATTTGTATTCTATAGCAAACAAAATTACTAACCAGTGCCTTTTCTAGTATGAAATTATGCCTGCCTGTGTTAGAAATCCCTGGAATTAGACAGTTCTGTAGAACTCCTGCAAGAAGGCCCACTTGGAATGAAAGTCACTCGCTTCCCATGGCTAATTTTAATTTCAGTGGAAGCCTATACTTTCCAGACCTTCTCTGAAGACTTTGCGCGCAGTGTTACGTTGGACACATATTCTAAGTGTCGCTGGTGCGTGTGTGTGCGCGCGCGTGCGGAGAAGGAAAGCACAGCAGGATGAGTAGGTGTGCACTGTCGATACGTGGGAGTCACACGCACTGCTGTACTTCTCTGAGCTTCAGTCTTCCCACCTGAACAATGGGGCCAGGAGCCCCTCCTTTCAGGCTGGTTGTCCACTGCAGCCTGTGGGCATCGCTTCCCAGGGACAGCCCTTGTTACCGCTGTCTCTGTGGACCACCCGGTCTGCCTCGGCAGCCTGAGCTGGTGGTGTGGCCGTGGTGCATCCTTTGTCATATGCACACCTCCTGTTCAGGGGACCGAGGTGGAATGTACCCACAGCCGTGTTCATCTGCCCGGTGGGGGGGAGCTGTCTCCAGGGCCAAGCTGCCTAACCTCCAGACCCCCCCCCTCCCCCTTTGCCTCCTTCAAGGCGCAGAAGGCTGGCTCCGGAGGCGACACTCAGGCCGCGGAGGACCTGCTGCTGCTCAGCAAGCCCCTGACCGCCCTCGTCAGCCTGCTCATCCCGCTGGTAAGGGCTCACCTGTTTGTGTGTGTCTCTGAGCACTGCTGGCGCTGAAGTGATTTTATTTGAATTTCATGATGTCTGGAGTCTTCATGCTATTTTAATTCCTTTCAAAACTAGAGCCAGGAGGAATTTCAGAGGCTCATTTGGCTTGGGATGACTACATCTCTACTTTATTTAAAACCAGGTGGCTTAGATATTTAAGTAAAGCAGAATCTCGGATCCTTCTTAATGAATGCGGGGTTTAAAAAAAATGCAAGAAATGAATTCCGAGAAGGGAAAATAATACGTTATGGGGATCAGTTCTCTTTCAAAAACAGTTTTTAGGGTTGTGCTTGGCATGCAGGGCTCCCCCAATCTTCGCAGAATTAGGATGAAATAAGTGGAATTAGATAAAAATAGGTGAGGCTACAGAAAACCGCGGATTACAGGAAAAGAGCCCAAGAGAACCTTGGCGTGTGGACCAACTTAGAGGGCCCACCATACAGACACGTGGCCACCCACCCTCTCCCCTCCACCGGCCAGAGCACTCAGAGGGCCGGTGGATGGCCTTCCACAAATCTCCCTGAAAACCTCTCCAGATTTGGGGATCCTAGAACTAGGGGTGCAGGCGACCTAGGGAATGAATCACTTGTGGCCTCACTCTTCAGTTCTCCAAGGCTGCGAAGGTTTCGCACATGGAATAGAGCGGTCACAGAGAGGCAGTGGGCTCACAGTGACGGGAGGCAGCAGCTTGACCCCCAGGAGGACTGGCCGTGCCCCAGACAGAGCGAGAGGATCTCTGGTGTTGAACTTGGCATGAAGTTACGGGGCAATAGCAGCAGGAACCAACTGCTCCAGCTCGAGTCTGGGGGCTGGACCCTGGCGGAGGAAACGGGAGGGTCCACGGACCAGAGAGAAGGGACTAACGCAACCACGTGCTCTTGTATGAAAGACTCAAACGGCATGTGTGCGTATACAGACGGATACAATGCATTATGTAGGATGGTAATCATATTTATAGCAAACAAGATTAAAAATAGCTGAAGAAATTCAGATGGAGAATCCATTATAAATTTCTAGGACTCTTTCCCATTCATGTTTGTGAAAGTTTTGGTGTTTACATATTCTGAGATTTGTTTGCTCTTATTTGTTAAACTTATCTTTGGTCTTAATTTCCTTGTCTTATATTTTCTTTCTAAATGTCTTCCTGTATTAAATATAAGATTTAATGTGCACATACACACACACCCCCACACACAGAAAACCTTTAACTGGACCAAGAGAAGGATGCTACAGTGGTAAGGAATCTTCTTGTCCTGAGTATCAGAGCACAGGCCAACGCAATGAGAAGGGCAGCATGCACACAGGGAGAAATAAACAGCAGCAACAATAACGCAGTAGTATTGAGATGCGACACAGCTTTCTCGTTGCCTGACCAGCCACATGGATAAAAATAATAACGTAGATCAGGAGTTGACAGAGTAGGGCCTGTGGACCAACTCTGGCCCGCTGTCTGCTTTTGTAAATAAAGTTTTACTGAATACAGCTACAGGACAATTTGTTTACACATTGTCTGTGGCTGCTTTTGCACCTCAGTGGTGGAGCTGAGTTACAGCAGAATCCTTAAAGCCCACAAGCCTTGTTATTTACTGTCTGGCTTTTTATATAAAACATTGGCTGACTCCTCTATAGAAGATACAAAAGCTTGAATAAGATAGATCTACTAGAAACGTATCTACCTCTAATAGAAATATAAAACTTGATCTATTAGAATTTTATCCACCTCTGTGCCCTGAAAATGAGACTGCACCTTCTGTTCCGTTCTCTGGCAACATTTTAAAGAAGTTAGCCATGCGTTGGTTATGTTAAAAGAATGTCAATACATTCCAACGCATAGGAATTCTCTAACTGTAATACAGTTAAGCTGGAAGGAAAGTTACAAACAATGAAAGATGCACTGTTAGCAGATACTCCCCGTGACTAGGATCCAAGACTAACACGTTGTGACGGTCAGCCTGGGTCCCATCAGGAGGCAGAGACCGCACAGCGTTGTAAACAGGAGACTTTTAATACAGAGAATGAGGAAGCTGTGCCAGAAGAGTGACTGTGCGATGGTAAAGGCACTCTCCAGGAAACCGTCAGCTCAGGGAGAGTACCCACTGAAGGACAAACTGGACAGGGGCCCCTCCCCAAGGTGCAGGCCAGACCTCATGCAGAAGGCCCGCTGCAGCCCCAGGCTGGGGAGGCATTCGCTGGGGTGCTCAGGCCAGAGCGGGCCACGCCCCTGGACAAGCAGGAAGTTACCCTTCAGGCTGCAGCTGAATCCCAGCCAGGGGGCAGGTTCTCAGAAGGAAGCAGGTGCCGCTGCTAGTGGGGGGCTTGGGGTGCCCAGTATTTGCACACAGAGGACCACAGACCCTGTGCAAGAGACAGGCAAGGGGGGTGCATGTGGGAAGCCTAGCGTGTACTGTACCCATTGGGGAGGGTGACTAGGCTAACCACTGGCCAGAACAGTGAAGGTCTGGTGACATCCCCACCAGATGCCATTATACCCACACTTCTGCCCCTCCCTGCAGTGTATTATCCGAGGGGTTCCAGCTTCCTGGCACTGTGCTCATGTTATTAGTAACTGGATCATATTGGGCTCTCATATATTGGCCGATGTCTGCCTAACATGTGTGAGCTGGGCATGGACCTGGACATATATCCCTGGAGTCCTGAGGTTTGAGAATGGCTGCAACATGACCTTTTCTATACGTCTCCTCTGGAAAAGATTAAGACGTTTACAGCTGTGTATAAAGTGGGGGAAAGCTCTATGGCTATTGAGGACCCAACCTAGAGCACACAGGCCAAAGATGCATTTTCCAGCGGTTGTTAAAAAATGTAACAGGTTCCCCAGGGCGCAGCTGGAATTTCATTCCCAGAGGGAAAAATAAACAGGCTTTTCGTTTTCATCTGACTCAGATAATTTTGGAAGCATTTTGCCTGAAGGCAGGTGAATGAACTTGTTAGCTTTTGAGATTCTTTCCAGAAACGAAAGTAAACATACTTATCCTTAGGAGATGAAACCTGTCAACCCATAAGTTATTACCTGAATTTATATTATACACCAGAAGGATCACAGTGAAATGTAGGTATGACACAGTGATTCTTAGTCCGTTCTGAGCGTGAACTGCTTTAAGAGTTGGAAAATTCCAAACTCTCTTCCCAGAAAAGTGCCTAGAATCACTTCTATGCAAATTATGCACACAACTCACTATTTCAGGGGATCTTTGAACCCTCAGTTGGGAACTGTGGTATAAGACATGGTGAATGAAGGATTTAACAAGTTGACCGTGTCTCCTGACCGAAAGAGAGAACAAGGCAATTGTTTGACCTAAATATTTTATTTCTTAAGAGGAAGCCAGGGTTTATATCCTAGATGCCTTTTATAACAGTTCCTGCAAGAAATTATGCCACAGTCTCCTGCTCCCTCAATTAAATAGGTTACTTACAAATTTGTGAGGCTTTAAAAAACGTTTTCTTTTTAAAAAAATCATGGTTCACCTTTTATAAAGTGTATGTATATTTATATTCTCCCACCATCATGGAATTAAACTTTAAATCAATAGAAGATATTTGGAAAATCCCAAAATATATGGAACAAAGTAACAGCACTAAATAATCATGGATCAAATAAAAATAATAAATTAGAAAGCATTCCTGAACTGAATAAAAATGCAAACACTACATGTCGGAATTGGTTGGATGCTGTGGAACAGTCCTTGGGAAAGGGACATTTTTAGCCTCAGTCACTCCTGTGCTCGGAAAGAGGAAAGGTCTCCGTGAGCTCAGCTTCTAGCTCAAGAGACTAGAAATAGGAGAGCAAGCTACTGTGACGCTGCTGTAATCAGTAGTGAGGTGTCAGTCAAAGAGACTATTGAAGGTCATGGATATGAACGTGATCTTGATGGTGGTACACTCAAGTATGTGCAGTTTATGGCATGTCAGTTATGCTTCAAGACAACTTATACAGTAAGTCATGCTGGTGTTGCTCTATTATTTTCCTTTCTTCCTGAGTCAGCTCCCCCGGTAGTCATTGTGTTTGGTGGTTTTGTGTCTTCGATCAGACTTCCTTCCTATCCAGGTGGTGCAGTCACCTCGTTTCTCTCCGAGTCCCCCAATGCAGACACACATCTGAGGCCCAGACTTCCATCGCACAGGGACACTGGGTTTCATCAAATCCAGGCCTGAGCCTGCAGGGGGTTTGGCCCAGGTCCTGTGGCTGATTTCAACAGTAGAGGAGCTCATGTATGAGCTGGAGCCCGGGGCTGGAACGGCTGGTCAGCCCGCTCTTGTGGCCAGGAATCCCAGCCCCCGCTCTGTGCCTGGCTTTTGTCCTTGCCCCTGTGTGTGTGTGGGGGGCGGGGGTGTGTGTGTGTGTGTGTGTGTGTGTTACATTGAAGATCCATTTCCTGGTTGCTGCTGCTGACTGCTTTTGAACTTCAAGCTTTTGTGTGGTCCACAGAGTTATTAATCTGCATCTTTAAAAGTTTATTTTGGTTATTATGGAGGTGGTGGTGCAAATTTTGAAGTCTCACCCATTATCTTGACTGGAGTCACATGTGTGTTTAGTTCCTGGCCCTCTCCCTGGCACTTTTCAAGTGCTCAATAAATAATTGTGGGATGCATGAATAAGGCACCAAAACCCAGGACATTGTAAATCTAGTATATACAAAACTAAATTGTAATGGGGGCTGATTTATGTCATGCTCCAAATATGTTTATATAAAGTGCACAAAGGAGGTGAGGGTGGAGTGATTTATACCAAGGGCTTAATGGTATTTCTCAACAATTTTTTACTTAAAAATAGATGGCTTCCTGTTTTGTCTCCTCCCACTTTTTAAAAAATTATTGTTATAATGAACATGAATTTCATAATATGCAATGAAGTTATTTTCATCTTGAAAAAAGTACACAAATAAACAGTGAATGACCCTGACTGTCCGAATGCGCCTGTCACCCTCCGAGGGGGGGACCGAGGG